TAGCCAAATTGGACAATGCCTACTTTCCACTACACAGATTTCTCTTTTAACTTTTTTTTATTTATATGGCAATATGATGTTAAGTTATTAAGAGGTTTGATCAGAAGGCTGCAAGGATCTATCTTTCATCTTTCTTGCCTTCCTGCAAACAGTTTCATTGTGAAGATATTTATCAAGAGTAATAAAGAAATATTTGTAAGAAATGTTGGGGGATAAATGATAACATCTTTTCCATTCTATAAAAAAAAAAATCAATATGCTATAAATCCGTAAATGATAAGCTATATATGTTTCCTAAGTAATATTAACAATCCGTTATAAGTGTTGTTTAAAGTAATAATCATAGAAAGAATTTTAACATAATTTTAAAGCACAAAATATATTTAATTTTTTATTAATCAAATGAATCTCTTTCATTTTTATCAAAGTTTGAACTATGATCACTTAAATTAAGAGTGTAACATTTTACAAACAGATCGTAAGACTATTGACATTTTATTGTGTTATTATAATAAAAAAATTCAAAAGTATAAAAACAAAGAAGAAAAAAAAGAAAAAGAAAACATATAAATATAATTATATTGTATAAATATTATATTTTGTAAATAATATATTATATTATGTTATATTATTATTATTTTCTTTTCTTTTCTTTTCTTTTCTTTCCTTTTCTCTTAGTTGGGGTTTGAACAAAGAAACTAAATCTGGGGTTGACAAAAAACAATGGGGCAATCGATTTGCATAATCAAGGGACTTTTAATCTGGAATCAAATGAGTCAGACCAACGGCTAGACTTATGCCAAATATCACGGTGGACAAAATCCAATCCCATGATTCAAGCCTAGGTTGGTTCTATCTAATCCTAAAATCCATATTGAAGAGTGCTTATAAATTGGACAATGTTCATTTCAAGAGGACACGATTGATTTTTGGGAGAAAAAGCTCTGTGTTAAAATTCTGGAAAATATTTTGGTAGTCTATTTCTGAGATGTTGGTGTTGGAAGTTTAGGATTCAAGGTTCTGGTGATTATGAGGGTTTGGATTTTTTATTTTCTACTTAGGAGTGTTGGGGTTAAGATTTTGGATTTTTGGATCAAAGCTTAAATTTATGGAAAAATCTGGGATGTTCTAGAAATTTTTGGAAAAATTGGGCTTTTTTAGTTAAATGTTTGAATATTTTGATGAGTTATTCAGTAGATTTTGAATTTTTCAACAGAATTCCAGTGAGATTTTTCAAAAAATGGTGGGTTTTTCAATTTTCGATTGAATGTTTCTGGGTCTTTTAGAGAGAAAGCAGAACATCTGAAGCTAGAGAAAAAGGAGATTAAGGCTTCTGAAGAAAAAGCAGAGAACTTAGCTTTTATACCGTCCCCACATGACATTCTTTTTGAGTGCCCAGATCTGCACGTAACATGAATAGGATCCGTGCGCCACCTATGGTTCATCCCAACCCAATCATAGGTTTTTTTTTTCTATTTTAATTTTATTTTCTAATTATATTTTTCATCTATTTTATATTTGGAGTTTTTTTTTATTTTGAGTTTTTTATTATTTTATTTTACAAGTTTTTATTATTTATTCATTTTTATTGAGTAATTTATTATTTAATGAATATTGTATAAAAATTATTTTTCTAAAAAAATAAAAAATCTTTTCAAATAAATTCATGAATCCTACCAAACTATTGGAGAATTTTTATGGATTTAAATTTTATGGAATCCACCAAACTATTTAGGAAATTTCAATAAATAAATTTTAAAAATAAAAAAATAATTTTTATCCTACCAAACTATTGGAGGATTGCTTCCTAAATTAAGTCTTAACAAACTATTGGAAGATTTAATTAATTTTTTTTAAAAAAACAAAATTTTATAAATATTTTTAAATAAAATCTCACCAAACTATTAGGAGATCTGTCTCAAAGTAAATCTTACAAACTATTAAAGGACTTTACTAATTTTTTTGAATAAAATATATTAATAAATCCAATGACGGAGCTTCTTTAAAGTGAGAAACTAGTCTCCATGAATACTCTTGAGGTGAGAGAATTATTTTAAATTGCTACCAAACTATTATGGGCAATTTTAGGATTAATTTCAATACTATATATTTTGGTAAATATAAACAAGTTTTAAGGCTTAAATAATTTGAAAATGGGTGCCGTAGGGGCGCTATAACCTTTCCCATGTATAACCATACTCCCAAACTTAAAATCTAGTTTCGTGGATCATAATTTATTATTTAAAGATACTTAAGTCAATCTTGGGACTACTCTTTAAATGGGACAAATTCGATCAGGTGGCTAATTACATCTAAACAAAAAAGATTAGTAGCGACTCCTTTATTTTATATCTAATAGTAGGTCCATGGATCTATATATTATCACACTTGCGAATATAAAAACCTTTGCAAATCTTGAATCTTTTTAATTTTTTTGTTTTTGTGAAACTTGGAACATTGGGATCTTTGAACTTCTATCATGAAACCTTACAAATCTTTAAATTTTCAAATTTTGAATCTTTGGATTTCAAGCTAAAATTTTTAATTTTATTTTTTCTAACTCACGATTCAATCCAAGTCACTCGTTTTCAATCTTGGCTCAGTCCAGATCATTTTATTTTTTGAATTCACGCGGTTCAATCTCAGTCACTTAGTTTCGATCTCAGCTCAGTCCAAATCATTTTTTTTTTACTTGTGATTCAATTTTGATCACTCGTTTCGATCTTGTCTAGTCCAGATCATTTTATTTTTTTAAACTCACAGTTCAATCTCGATCACTCATTTCGATCTGAGCACGATCCAGATCATTTT